AGTCCCAGCTGGTCTCAAAAGGTCCCCCGAGTAGCCCGGGGCGGTCTCAACACCTCAGCGGGCGCCCTTGGGGCGCCGCCCGAGGCGGCACCGGGGTGTTGAGACCGCCTGGGACTACTCGGGGTACCGGTTGAGGCCAGCTCGGACTAGGTATTCGGGGGACCCGCTGAGGCCAGCGGGGGCCACCTGGGGGCGCTGTGTGTGTGTGTGTTTGTGTGTGTGTGTGTGTGTGTGTGTGTGTGCGCAGCCCGGAATCTGCGCCCCGATGGTCTGCAATGTCCTGGCACCAACAAGGTACCCATACCGCTACTCCCTGGACCTCTCGTGGGGCTCGTTCTGGCCAGACTTTCGGGGCGAACCCAGCCGAGGAGACGAGGGCCTCCCAGGAGGAGGCCCAAGAAGCGACAGCGAGAAGGGTAGCGGCACGAGTGCCTTCTCCTCCCCTGATAATAATTAAGCGCGCCCCGATGGTCTGAAATGTCCTGGCTTCCGCTGGCCGCGCGCACCAAGAGGGCAGGGGAAGGGTGGAAGGCTTTTTAGCAGGAGGCTGCTTCTCAGCAGGCGCCGACCCCTACATCTACAGACAAGGCCCGCGCCTTCTAAGCAGCAGCCTCCTTCTGAGCAATCTTCCACCCACCCTCATGCCCCCTTCTGCCCTCTGCGCGTGGCCGGGATGTCCTGGCTTCTGGGACCCCGAACTCGACTCGGGCCCCAGCAACGTGAGCCGGAAACACGGCACCTACTCACCAGCCTCGAACTTGTGTCCCTACCCCTACGATTGACAAGCTTCAACAGGCGATGGCAATCTCAGGGATGCGCCCTCGAAAGCTGAGGGAATCCTCAAGATCGGCATCGGCATCGGGCGACGCCTGTCGTAGGAATAGGGATGCGTTCCCAGACATGCGACGTCCTGATTTGTTCAATACGGGGTCCCTGGGAAACCCGACCCCTGCCACGGGACCCGTCTTTCATCCCGAGTCGATGTTTGACAGTCCCGAGGCCCGGCGAGGGCCCCCCGATGCCGTAAATGGCCCAAAACCTTCCGTCCTGATTTTTCGTTACGACGCGATCACGTCTGGGTTCCAGGCAGGTCACCTGCGGCTGCTCCGCGCCGCCTCCCACGGCTCCCACGGCGCTGCCGGCCGCCCCGAGGAGCGACAGCATGAGCCCGGCGCGCCTGCTCTTGCCGGGCGCGGCGCGGCGTGCTCGAGGGCTCGAGCCAGATGGCTGGCGGCGCGCAGAGGGGGGTACAGCCAACGGATGCCTAGGAGGAGGAGGAGGAGGAGGAAGAGGAGGAGGAGAAGGATGATGATGATGATGATGATGATGATGATGATGATGATGATGATGCTGATGATGCTGATGATGATGATGGTGGTGGTGGTGATGATGATGATGATGATGATGATGATGATGAGGAGGAGGAGGAGGAGGAGGAGGAGGAGAAGGAGGAGGAGGAGGCGGGGGAGGAGGAGGCGGGGTACCCGCATAAGATGGACGCGCGATCAGGATGCAAGGGACCTGCGAGGCCATGTCGACACTATATATTGCGAGCTGGGCGCGGCCAGCGAAAGCGGCCAAGGATGGGCCGAAGGGGCGGGGATGCAAGGGCAACCTTGGAAAAATCGCTCATCATGACTATGCGGGTTGACTGGTTGACTATACGGTAGGTTTGTGTCGTGCCGACTTCGGCGTTGGTTCCTCGCACCGCGGGGATCGTTCAAGCATGGAAGATCGGCCGTTTCAGAAACGCCAGATCATTTCAACCATGGGCCGATTCTGGGCAACGGGCGACATTCAACCTTCAACACCCGCGCCGAAGTCGCCGCTGGTCGACACGACGCGAACCTACCGTAGGGGGAGGGGGGAAGGCGTGTGCCGAAATGGTTGACTGGTGCGGAGGGCAGAGGCACGGATAAGAGGAGGAAGGAGGAGGGAGAAGGAGGGGGAAGAGGAGAGAAGAGGAGAGGAGGTGGGACGCGGGGCGCTGTCTCCTCAAAACGAGGACCCAACACCACAGGATGATTGGGAACGAGGACCCAACACCAACCACAGGATGGCGATACCACTTGGGCCTTCGGTGAAGCTCCCTATGCGGCCACGAAGCGCTGTACTGGGTGAGGGGAACGCGGGGAGGAGGGAGGAGGAGGAGAAGAAGGATGGAGTAAGGAAGGAGGCAGGAACGCGGGGCGCTCTCTCTGCAAAACGAAGACCCAACACCGCAGGATGGTTGGGAAAAACCATGACGTCGAGGGTCTGGGAAGGACAGCGAGGGGGTAAAAGAACAGGAAAAGCTGGGGAAAATTCAGGACCACTATGAATCGATCAAGGGTTTTCTGGAACGCTCTCGGAATGTTACGGAGTGCTCTGGAACGGCTGCGGCACCCGCATCATCCTACATCCTCCCTGGCCACTGAATCTCAGAGATCGCTGAACTATTCAGGTCCGAGTTTGTCCCAGTCCTGACCAGTCCAGTTAAGAAGCTACCGCTCAAGAGCAGCCCAGAGGGGCTGAACATGTGTTGCAACTGTTGGTGATAGGCTGTCAGGCTGGCCTCGACAAGTACCGGATGAGATGATCTCGACAACTACCGCCGGAGGCGGTGACATAACGCCAGGGAGGAGCCCGGCCAGGAACGATGGCGGCTACAGACAGAAATCTGAAGGAACACAGAACGCACCGATACCGCTAACCCCAAACTCCCGGGTAATAAAGCATCCCCCTTCCCCTTGTACCTCTTCATCCACGGAATTGCATGTGGTTCAATTGAAGCAGCAGGCGGGGAGGCCGAACTTGACTATCCCCTCCAAAATTCCAATCGTAGCTCTGATAGTGAGGATGTCTCAGGCGAAAAGCGATCCCGACATCCTAACATCGATATCTCCAGGAAGAACTTGATTCTCCCGCTCCCGCCTGGACCCCGAACTTTTATCATCCCCACAGAATTATTCTTACCAGGTCACGGTTACTCGATGGAACTCTCCACAGTGTGCGTTCGGACGAGTTTCGAGGCGAAGCCAGCCGTCCCGACGAGGGAAGCCAGCCGTCGCAACGCTGGGATCTCAAGGCCTGTCGAAGGTCAAAGGAATGGATGGGCCTCGGACCCTTGGCAGGAGCGCCCAAAATCAAATCGATCATCAAGTCGGATCGGCGATCAACACGACTCGGATCGGCGGAAATCGGCAGCCAAGACGCGAAAAGCTGAAACGGAAGCCGTGCTTCTGAGAAGCCTCATCTGAAGGGGCCTAGGGACTCACACTCACTCACACACACACACATCAACAGGCACAAATCCCAGGATGTCCATATTTTTTTGCATATTTTATGGAGTCTCGTCGCCCCCATACTTCTCAACATTCATGGGAAACGACGTTTGCTTGCACCCGTGTCTATTCTTCCCTCCTGATCCTGTGAGATCCTGGGCGCTGATGAGCGCTTTCGCCCAGGGGTCGGACCCCAGGGGCCACCACAGGTTCAGCCGGCGCGAGGAATGCCTCAGGCAGATGGGGCCAGGTCTTCGGCCGTGATTTGTCTCGATGCCACCTTTTCTTTGCAATATCGGACCTCAAGGTCTCACAGGCCTCCAGGCCCGTGAGACAATGCCCCCCTGCCATCCAAGAGCAGAGTCCTCCTAGGTTGGGTCGGAGGAGCGCGCCGCATCGCCAGTGCAGCGCTAATGCATCGCAGATGCATCAGCGATGCATTAGCGCTGCACCAGCGACGTTAGCAATGCAGTAACGCCGTCAGCGTGAAAACATCGGGCTTCACATCAAGCCGGCGGTCCTCCAACCTCATCTACTCTGACTTCATCTGGGCGACGAACAAAAAACGGTCGCACGCGAGATGGCATAGCGAGCTGACGCGGCGGCTTCCGCGACCCTCAGCGGGCAAAGCGGCACTGAAAACGAGGGCGCTTCCGCGCGACCTTACGCGGGCAGCTCACGCGCCAACGTCGGCGAAGACGACCCCGTTTCTGTGGCGGCGCTCACCTGGGAGGCTTAGAGAATAACGGGAGGCCCAGAGAGGGGGCCCCCCGCCTTCCCAGAAGGCCGCCAAGAGGGAGGCGT